TAAAAAAAAAAAAAAAACTGCACTGAGATAATCAAGTCACTTGATTATAATCCAGTGAATAAAATAATGAAGTTCATTTTTATGTTAGAATACCAACTAATGTAGAAAAAATGATGGAGTTTTTAAAAAAAAACCACTATTTTTTATACCCATCATAGCAGTACTTGATTCAGGCAGGAATTATCAATTGATCAAATTTAACGTTACAAATAATAAGGCAAAATATTGTATGCCACATGATGTGCACTGAAAAGAACACAGTATTCCTTGTGTGGTACTCCTTCCTAAAAAATGCATAACCTGAATCTAATCTTGAAGAAACATCAGAAAAATTCAAATTGAAAAGAATTCTACAAAGTACAATACTCTTAAAATATGTCAAGGTCATGGAAGACAAAAGCAACTGTTCTAGATTAGAGGAGACTAAAAGAAGTAAAAGAGGAGCTGAACAGAGTATTTCAAAGGGCAGTTTGAGGAGACAAACTATTATAATGAAATTTGCAAAGACCTGGAGTTAGAAAATCAAAAGAGAAAAATAGGGTCAGCATTTTACAAGCTGAACTGAAGAAAAAAATTGAAGCCTCAAATTTCAATACTGAAGGATTCTATGGACAAAATATTGAACATTGCTGGAAGCATCAAATGAAGATGAAAGGAATACACAGGGTCACTGTACCAAAAAGAAGTGATCGACATTCAGCCATTTCAGGAATTAGCAAAGGATCAAGAGCTGATAGTATTGAAGGAAGAAGTTCAAGGTACACTAAAGGCATTGGTGCAAAACAAGGCTCCAGGAATTGACAAAATACCAAATGAGATGTTTAACAAACAGATGCAGTGCTGGAAGCGCTCACTCATCTATGCCAAGAAATTTAGAAGACAGCTACCTGGCCAGTTGACTGGAAGAGGTCCATATTTGTGCCCATTCCAAGGAGATTCAACAGAGAATGGAAATTATCAAACAGTATCATTGATATCCCATGCAAGTAAAATTTTGCAGAAGATAACTAAAAATTGTTACAGCAGTACATTGACAGGGAACTGCCAGAAATTCAAGCCAGATTCAGAAGAGGCTTTGGAACAAGGGACAGCATTGTGGATGTCAGATGGATCTTGGCTGAAAGCAGAGAGTACTGGAAAACTGCTTACCTGTTTTATTGACTATGCAAAGGCATTTTACTGTGGATATTAACAAATTATGGATAACGTTGTGAAGAACAGGAATTCCAGAACACCTAATTGTGTTCATGCAGAACCTGTACACAGATCAAGAGGCAGTCATCCTAACAACCAGGGGATACTGCATGGTGTAAATCAGGAAAGAGATGCATCTGGGTTGTATCCTTCCACCATACATATTCATTGTGAATGCTAAGCCAGTGATCCAAGAAGCTGGACTATATGAAAAGGAATAAGGCATTAAGATTGGAAGAAAACTCTTTAACAGCCTCTTATTTGCAGATGACATAACCTTGCTTGCTGAACGGGAAGAGGACTTAAAGCCTACAGCCTTGAGTTTGGGTTACACCACAGCATAAAGAAAACAAAAATCCTCAAACAATATACTGCATCGGGAAAATCTGTAAAAGACATCTTTGAAGTGTTAAAAAGCAAAGTTGTTATTTTGAGGAATAAGGTATGCCTAACCTAAGCCATGGTATTTGCATTCATCTCATTTGCATGCAAAAGCTGGACAATGAATAAGGAAGACAGAAGAAGAATTGATGCATTTGAATCATGTGTTAGTGAAGAATATTAAGTATACCATGGACTTCCAGAAGAATGAACAAATTTGTTTTGGAAGAAGTACAGCCAGATTGCTCCTTAGAAGTGAGGATGGTGAGATTTCATCTCATGTACTTTGCATATATTATCAGAAGGGAGCAGTCCCTGGAGAAGGACATTGTGTTTGGTAAAGGGTTAGTGAAAAAGGGGGAGACCTTCAACGAAATGAGTTGACACAGTTACTGCACCAGTGGGCTTAAACAGCAAGGATTATGAGGATGGCACAGGATCAGGTGGTAGTTTGTTCTGTTATACTTAGTGTTGTTTTAAGTCGGCACCAGCTCAATGGCACCTAACAACAAAAGAGACCTGATAGCTGAATGCAGTGTGGCAGCTCAAATTGAATCTTAAGCTAGGAAAAGAAACAATAAAGGATATTCTGGGTACAGTTAGTGATATTTGAATATGGGTTTTAGATTAGATAATATACAATAAATGTGTCAGTGTCAATATTTTTTATTTTCATAATTATCCTGTGGTTATGTTAGAGACTGTTTTTGTTCTCAGGAAATACACATCAAGTATTTAGAGATAAAGGAACCATATTGTTGCCAGCAACTCAAATGGTTCTGAAAAAACGTATGTGTAATAATGTGTCCCTCTCCATACAAACATACACACAAAGTGAGAGAGAGGAATAAGAAAGCATATGGGGACAAAATGTTAAATTGACAGTTGGTGAATCAGAGTAAAGGATGCATGAGAATACTGTGTACTGTTGTGTATTCTATAAGTTTGAAATGATGTCAAGTTATAAACAAAATATTTGACTATGAAGTACAAATTTCAATATAGCACAAATACAGTACAAAAAAATAATGTATTTTTGTGATACAGCTTACTCAAGAAAATGTTTTATATAGTATCTAGATTTGTTCTCTTTCTTTCTAACCTATCGACGGTACCACTGTTGTGATTTTTTCCTTTTTCTCCTAGTCTTGAAATTTTGTTCTATGTAAGTATTACGTGGATTTTCTTCCTGTTTTAGTGCTGACATGAACCATTGAAAGCTTGGTTTTGAGCATCATGAGATCAAGGATCATACTCTGTTTTTTTGTCTTCTCTAGTGCTGAATATAGCTCCTAATATATTGTTGGTATTCACTAATTTTTTCTGTTACATGTTTTTCCCCACTTACAGAGAAAACCACTAGTGTTGGAAGGTATTGACTTGGGGGCGTGTACGAGCAAGTGGACAGTGGATTACCTAAGCCAGGTCGGAGGGAGGAAAGAAGTAAAGATACATGTTGCTGCAGTTCCACAGATGGACTTCATTAGTAAGAACTTTGTATATAGGTATTTTCTTTGGAGGTTTACTCCAGGTTTCAAATTACTTTAAAAACCTTTAAAATATTTTGCATTAGTATACGAAGACCATATGGTATTTCGTCTTTTGGCTAATTTGATATAATCATGGGATAACTTGCTGATTTTTAAGGAATGACGTTTAAAAGACAAGAATTCTGAGTTTACATAATTATACAAAGACATTTCTAAAGACCATTTTTTAAAATAGGGTGTATACCTTATACCTTCTGGAGTCATGGGGAAACAGAATTTCTTTCACTAGAGTTATATTACATCTCAAGCTAGATGTGGTATATATTCTTTCAGTGCCTAATTGGTGGATTGATCCTACCATATTCATATTAGTAATTGTTTTCTAGAATAACAAATTGTAAAGTTTCTCTTCATAACTGTTTTGAGTTTTAAATGCCCTTATTTTTGGAAAATTTTTAAATTCCAAATTATTTTTAGATAAATACAGGCCCATGGTTTCCTTCTCTGTCCTTTCCAGAAACCTAGGACAGGTAGTTATAATATCACGTGGGTAACTTTAAAAATCAGACTTCATTTTCTCTCTTGACAAAAATACTTTTCAATACCCGTAATTTCACTCATGGTTGTTATTTATATGTTTTGGAAGCTCTTAAAGGTCTTAGACTTTCAAAAACTGCTGAATATCTAAACCTGAAACTTTAAGTGCTGTACTCTTGTAGATTTAATATGCTGTTTGTTCCCACAAGCTTCATTAAAAATGCTAAATTAGAAAACAGGCAACTTCCAAATTCTGAGCATGTGCAATTACCAGCAAGTTCAAGCTATTGAAATACCATGTAGTTCACAAAAGTGTTCAGTTTAGGGATGAGTTAAAACAGAGCTGCTAATGTGTAGGGCCATTCCTTTCTCATTAGAGTTTTTTAAGCTCAGATGGCAGCTGCCAAAGCATTCCTCAGCTTTTGATCCTTAGAATATTTACTATTATAGTTTTGGTTTTTAATAGGCCATGAATTGAATTTAATTGCCGTAAATTTTTCCAAGTGACTGTAAGAGCTTTTCTTTCTTTATTGAATCAAGAAAGAGGAAGAAAGTGCTGGAATGATGAGTGTTTTGCAGCCTGCAGTTAATGATGTTTATTTTCCAAAGGGGCCAATGCGGTAACAAATGGCTATTGAAAATTCATTCTGAATTGCCTTGATGTTTTGTCATGTCTTTTAAACTTTGCAAAACTTGTTTTGAAGCACATGAATTATGTAATAATAGTTCCTATCCTAGCTTATTCCAACTCTTCACTAAAACTCCTTAAAAAGTTACAAGATTATTTTTTTGTACAAGGGGAGGAAAAAAAGGTTCAGTCATTTTCACCAGTTACCAAACCTAATCAAACCCATTGCCATCAGGCCAATTCTGACTCGTAGTGACCTTATGGGAAAGAGTAGAACTGCCCCCATAGATGTTCCAAGGCTGTAAATCAGTACAGAAGCAGCCTGCCACATCTTTCTCTGGTAGATAGATGGTGGATTCTAACCACCAGCCTTTCGGTTAACAGCCAAGTACTTTAACCACTGCACCACAGTGGGTGGGTAAGATTTGAAAATAAGAAATCCCACATACATATCATTATTATCACTTCATTTTGAGGTTAGATCTTATTCCTTTCCGTGCTTGGTCAAATGTGGAGACTGATAATATTTCCAATTCTTAGCTTTTTACTACTTTCTTCTTGGTAGCTCTCACTATTTCTTCCAGGCTCAGAAGGCTAAATGCAAGAGAGCCTTGTGTTCACCCTGTGTGGTGAAAGGATACTGTTGGTATTCTTTTAGTCATTTGTTGTTCTTGTTAGGTCCCTCAAGCCACCTCTGACTCTTAGTGACCCCATGTAAACAGAACAAAACATTATCCAGTCTTGTGCCATCCTCACAATATCTGCTATGCTTGAACCCATCGCTGCAGCCACTTTACCAAGCATGACATCCTTCTCCAGGGACTGGTCCCTTCTGACAACATGGCCAAAGTAGGTGAGATGAAGTCTGGCTGTTCTCACTTGTAAAGAGCATTCCGGCTGCACATCTTCCAAGACTGATTTGTTTGTTCTTCTGACAGTCTGTGGTATTTTCAATATTCTTCTCCAGTGCCACAATTCAAAAGTATCAGTTCTTCAGTCTTCCTTAATCATTGTCCACCTTTCATATGCATATGTTGTTTTTGTTGTTGTTATTTGCCCTCAAGTCGGTCCCGACTCATAGCGACCCCTCCTTGGGTTTCTGAGGCAGTATCACTACGGAAGTAGGATTGCCCAACCTTCCTTCCGAGGAGCGGCTGGTGGGTTTGAACCGCCAGCCTTCTGGTTAGCAGTCAAGTGCCTTAGGCACTATTGAAAATACCATGACTTGGGTCAGATGCACCTTGGTCTTCAAAGTGACTAAGACAAAATGACTTTGCTACTTAACACTTTAAAGAGGTCTTTTGTAGCAGATTTTCCCAGTGCAGTCTGTCATCTGATTTCTTGACTGCTGCATCCATTGATTGTGGAGCCAAGTAAAATGAAATCCCTGACAACGTCAATCTTTTCTCCATTGATTGTGGTGCTGCTTACTGGTCCAATTGTTGTTGTTGTTGTTGTTGTTGTTTGCCATCGAGTCGGCCCCGACTCATAGCGACCCCTCCTTGTAAGTATTTTTATTTTCTTTATGTTGAGGTGTAATCCATACTGAAGGCTGTAGTGTTTGATATTCATCAGTAACTGCTTCAAGTCATCTTCACTTTTCAGCAAGGAAGCTTGGTGTCATCTGCATGTCACAGGTTGTTTTTTTCATAGAGTCCAGCTTCTCAGATTATTTGCTCAGCATGCAGATTGATTAAGTATGGTGAAAGGATATAACCCTGACACGCATCTTTCCTGATCATAGATTCTTAAAAATAAATAGTCTGAACCTTATATAAGCTTTGTTTTGCTGCTTATACCTCAGTATCTTAATTCCCAAGGCATCATCTAATTTCTGTCATCATCCTGCTGTTACTCTTTATTATGCCTCCACTCAATTCTGATCTTGATTTTGCAGAGCAGCATTTCAAAAATGGCAAACAGGACAATGAAAGTTTCTCTTTCCTTTTTTTAAGTGTTTTTTATTACTTACATGCTCCTGAAGGGTACATTATCATTTTTGCTAGTGCCACTATCTATTTTTTATTAAGCATCCTAGATATATTATAGTATCTTTGTTAAATTAACTTCAGAACAATTTGTGAGGTAGATATTTTTGTAATAATTTTACGGAGGAGAAAATGGAGGTTTAACAATGTTAAGTAACTTACCCAAGATCATATATTTCATAATGATGAACCAGGATTTACACCAAGTTTGTCTGACTCCACAAAGCCTGTCATCTTAACCAGTCTGTGATATTCCCTCTCTTACTGGTCTGTATGTCAGGCATATGATAGTTTAAAAAGCACTGAGAACAGTTCTTTTTGAAACTTGCATAGGATAGATAAGGCCTCAAGGCTAAGGAACTTCCCAATTCATATACTTCACTTCCTCCTTTCTGGGCTTTGTATCTGCAGGATCCATGGTAAGTACCACTTCCAAGGGGAGAAGATTGCTGAGCATCTGCCCTGTCGGCTCTCGCAGGGTCACTATCCTACTGTTACTATAAAGGTCTGGAAACACTTCTGGGGTCTCCTTAGTAAAAAAATAACCTGGGCAACTGTAGAAATAACAGAGATAGCTATGAGCCAGATGAACTTCCCCACTAGCCCCAGACTCTTAGAAGACTACAGTGTTTCAGTATCCACCTCCAGCTTTGCTTCTTAGAACTAAGGTGTCCCTTAATGAGCCAAAAAATGGTCCCTGGACTGGTTAAAAGTCTTCCCAGTGATATTGTCCTCTTAGAATGCCATTTCTTGTCCTGTACCCTTCTGGAAAGCTAAGTGAATCTGATGCTAAGTATAGATTGTTGGGTCAATATGAACTTGAGGCCACTGCTGGCAATCATGGAGAATAAGCACTGCAGGAGAAGCCGTCTAGTCAGACCAAGGCAGGGTGCTGTGTTTCCTCTCATAATTAATTTCTGGCCAGTTACATCAACAAATTTACCTGGTGTCCTCCTGCTCTGTCTGGTAAGTTATCTCTGACCTTCCCAGACTTTATAGACTACACAAAGGGAAGCCAAATCCTTTGTTTCTTCACAAGTATTTCAGTCCACTGGCAGGCCTTCTAGTCCAGACATAGGTCACCAATCAAGGGTCGTTTTTATAATACACAGTGTTGGTGCCTGATATCACAGCTGACATTCCCTGTTTGTATTAACCCAAAATGTTTCTAGGAAAATGGTGATAAGGAAGTAAATCCAAGATCATTTTGTCATAGAGAAAGGGTTTTGCTCACCCTTTCGCTCTCTCTCCCCAGTATCAATTTCAGCTGGGAAGATGCTTGTGGTGAGAGTGAAAAGATTTGGCATAGGGTGCAGTAGAGGAGAGGCTTTTGACCTGAATACTTTTAAGGGCTCTCTATTGCCTAGGTGTTACTAAAGAGGTCACTTTCATGTAGGAAGAAATACTTTTCATTTTGGAAAGTTGAAGGGATAAAATGGAGCTCAGAGAAAAGATAGCCTCTAGGCTCAAGAGTGAGGTAAAGAAAACAGAACCTTTGTTTTTAGGTTTTTCATTCCTATTCACCAGGATGGAAGGAGTCCGGCATTTGGCAGAAATTTTGAAGAAGAATGCAAATTTATCACTTCAGTTGAGGCCTTCTTTGGAAGCCTTAAAATAACAGGTGATGCTACAGGGTGAGAGTAATGTTACTGGCTTCTTTGTTCTGTCAATTTGCCAAAAAGCAGGAAGATGAGTAGGGGAGTAGACTTCATCTTCACTGGCCATTTGCCTACTATCTCTTCCAAAGTAGCTTGCTCCATTCACAAGATTTATTTTGCCTTGACACTTGAAAATAGGTAACAATCAAAACTTGAAATGTTGTGTATTTCCAAAGGTAACCAGATACCATGGAAACATTTTCCATCACTAACTTGGAATAGGAGGTATTGATATATGAGAAGGATCCATTTGTACCATAGATTTACAAGTCTTTAATTCCGAAAGTTCAGATAGCCTAAGTCAAATAAACATAGTTCTTGCTAAATGAGTTTTGAAAATTCAGAATTTTATATAATAAGTTATAATAAAAACAATAGACAGGCTACAAGCTAAACACTTACACAGGGAGATGCACTCCTTAGAACAGTCAACCATGGGGAGATGAGAAGGACAGCATTTGCACAGAAAGAAAGCTAGGTTGGCCAGAACGCATACATAAGAAGGACACAGGGAAGGGGTAACCATGTGGAGGAGGTGGGAAAAGAACAGCTAAATTGTGGGGATTGTAATCAGTGTCACGGAACAAAATGTGTATGAACTGTTGAGTGGAAAATGAAGCTGCTTTATAAAATTGCATGGAAATCACAATAAATATTAAAAAAAAAAAAAAGCACCCAAAACGTTTTGGGACAGTTTTAGTCTGTCACATGGGTTCACTATGAGTCAAAATCAACTTGATGGCACCTAATGACAGCAATGAGGTCTAGAAGGGGCCTTCTAGTTACTTGGTTTGATTGTTTACAAGAAGTAAACTGAGGCTGGGAACTACTGAGTGACTTGATCACCAGCCAGGGAAGCAAATAGGTAACAGAAGAGTCAGCACTAAAATCTAAACTCGAAAAAAAAAAAAAAAATTATGGATATTGTAAAACAGAAGGTCATATCCAACTCCAAGTCTGTCTGTCTGTCTGTCTATCTCCCTCTGTGTGTGTGTGTGTGTGTGTGTGTGGAGTGCTGGTGATGCAATGCCTAAGGCATTTGACTGCTAACCAGAAAGTTGGCAGTTCAGACCCACCAGGCACTCTGCAGAAGGAAGATGGGGCAATCTACTTCCATAGTGATATCGCCTTGGAAACCCAAGGAGGGGTCACTATGAGTCGGGGCTGACTCAAGGGCAATGAGTTTATGTGTGTGTGTTTGTGTGTGTGTGTGTCTGTATATGTACAGATGTATATGTATGTAAGTGTGTGTAGATAGATTAGATTCCATTAGATTATTACTAGTTTAGTATTAAGTCCAAGGATTTTTTAATGTTTATTCCAGAACTTTACCTTTTGACAAGTTGGTCCAGAGGGCAGCTGAAGAGAACCATAAAGAATTCTTCATTTCAGAGGTAATCGTTTTTAACATATTTTCTTTAAAAAGCACATGAGATACACAAGAATTATGTACCCTTCTTTGATACCTGTTCTTAACAGGCTGGGTATGCCATAGATAGCTCTGCTGTTTGTTGCTTTCAAACGTCAGCTAATTTCCTTCCTTGTGCCTCAGTACGCTCATCTATAATATGGAGATGATAGCACTACCTTCTTCATAAGGTTTGTGTGAGGACTGATTAAAAGCTATGAAGTTCTTAAAGAAGCACAGTGTCTGACACATAGAAACTCTTCATTAAACATTAACTTTTAATAGCATTTTCAGACTTTAAATGATAATATGTAAATTTATATTTTAATAGTATACGCTTTAATATTAAAAGCATATACTATTTTATCTCTTATTACACATTTGTATTATATTAAAGAAGTTTGTTGTTGGCCCTCAAAAATACTTTGAGATCATTACGTGCTATACAAATGGTAATTCTTTTCTTAACAATCTTAAGACATTGAAAGTACAAATAATTTTGAGTGTAATGTCTAAAATACACATTAATAGGTTTTAGAATTTATTTTACTCAATGTTTGTGGATCAGTCATTATTGTAAGCAACAATGTAAAAACATTTCTTCATATGACCACCAGAGAGCATTAGTAGAAAGAGTAAGATAACTGAGTTGTTTTGTACAACTGCTTAGGTGGGTTAGATTTTAAGACTTACTTCCTTTCTTTACTTCCTGATATTTTAAAATGAATGCTGATATAATTTTTCTTTAAGGATGAGAAGTACTACTTACGGTCCCTTGGGGAAGATCCTAGAAAGGTAAAAATTAAGAATATAAAACAATTGCTTAAAACCTAAATAGATGTATGTATGTTAATTGGTGCTGTAATTTTTGCATTTAGTGTCTGACATACAACCTGTTTTATTCTTTTTCTTCTTTTCTCACTGATTTGTGCCCCTGAATAAGAAATAAGATTATTGAAAGTAAATTACTTACTTTTCAGGTAGAACTGTAGAATATTAGTGTTCAAAAGTCACTTGGTTATAAAATGTGTATGAACTGTTGAATGGAAAATGAAGCTGCTTTATAAAATTGCATGGAAATCACAATAAAAATTAAAAAAAAAAACCCACCCAAAACTTTATGGGGCATTTTTAGTCTGTTACATGGGTTCACTGTGAGTCAAAATCAACTTGATGGCACCTGATGACAGCAATGACACATTTTGTTGCCTCTCCACACAACTAAAAAATCCCTTCTGCACATTTTACAGATGGCCATGCAGCTAATACAATTCTAATATAAAATAATTATTTAGAAACCTGAACAATTCATTCTGCAGGCTTCCACAGTAAGAGCGAGCGTCTTTTGGAATCACTTCCCTTCTGAATGCTGTGATGTGCATTCCCAGTCATTTTAATATGGCTAGTGACAAGGAGTGATCTCTAAAATGGCATAAGTAAAATGACAGATTTCCCTTTATGTCACTATTTAGTTCTGTACTTTCTTCCTTTTATTCTTCTTCCTTAGTGGAACCCACAAGTTTTATACAGTTGGTGGTGCTTCAATTGTTGACTCCTGAACTTAACAAACTTAGTGTTAGAGTAGATGACAATTATATAATTCTTGATTAAAGTAAGAAGACCCTTTCTATTAATGAAGCATATTGAGCCTAACAGTAGTGACATTATTGAATTTGGATTTCTTTTATATAGTCTGTTATTCCTTCATTTGAAAGATCATGTGTTGGCAGATGGACTGTCACATCATAGTATTTTAAAGCAGTGATCCAGGTTTTGCCCCATTCCTCCATCATATTATGGGGTCTGATGGCAGCCTTAGATAAAATAAGTATTGTGCCAGTCTTGTGTTTACTATTAAATGTCTAACTTTCCTGGTATTATTTTTTACCTACTGTTTCATTATTATGTTTCTCTCAATTCAGGATGTTGCAGATATCAGAAAGCAGTTTCCTTTGTTAGAAGGAGATATTAAGTTCCCAGACTTTTTTGAAGAAGAGCAATTCTTTTCGAGTGTTTTTCGTATCAGCTCAGCAGGATTACAACTTTGGACTCACTATGATGTATGTCACATAAATGTGAAATCTAAAGCTACTTACAGATTTAACATTTCCAGTTTCAGCTTTCTATAAGCTACCCCAAACATATGTTTTAAAATTGTGTGTCTGTAAAATGATGTATGGGAGTGAATTATTTAGTAAGCTCTTCACTTTTGGATTTCTCTGTGGGCTTGTTCTTGCTACATCATCATGTATATTCTAAGTTTTATGAAGAGGTTGTTTGTATGGGAAAAATGACCACAAGAGAAGGGGGAAATCGTAAAAATGGAGAAAGTGATAAGTTTGTGGTATGTAGATGTGTAAATACTGCACTCTGGACAGAACAGTTATCTAGGAGAAAGGCAAAAGCATAAAGAGCACCATTTCCAACTGTGAGAACATGGGGATATCTGAAGGCCTAGGATATGTAACCCTGACTTGTCAGATGTCTGCTGGATTTAGAGGAGGGCAAGATGCATAGAATATTCACCTTGATTATTCTGTTTTCCCTGTAGTGTAGTAATTTTATTTGCTTAAATGTATCTGTATATGTACATACACACAAATATTTTTAAAGCATTAAAAATGTTAGTATTGTGTGTGGTTTGGAAGAAATTTAGAAAGCTAGAATAATAACTAATAGGTTTTTTGTTTTAAGTTCTAAATGAAACTACTATATCTGATGCCTATATTTTATAATTTAGCTGAGGATTTCTTGATAGGATTACAATGTAGTAGCTCTGATTAAATGAAATAGATATGAAATCTTAGCATATTGTTTTGTAAAGGTCTTATATGAACAACATGGTGAGGAAATGATAGGGTAGTTCAAATACATTTTAAACTATATTCTATGACTGTATTTTAAGTGATTCCTTTTTACCTGGAGTTATAATGGAATAAAATATATAAAGCTTTTCTTAAGTTGAAAGTCAGTTAAAGGAATGATAACTATAAATACATAGTTAAGGTCCAAAACAAGTAAAGGATTACTGTTAAAGGGAGAAATGCTTAAGTAGAAGGAATCTGTTAATAATCATGAATATATCTTGCTTAGCATATCTTTTAATTCCTTGTCTGAGTATTATGTGCCTTTGCCTTTTAACGTTTTTCATAATTTGTAGCAAGAAATTGTACCCTTGCAAGGTCAAAATTCCACTAGTAAGTATATTAAAAACATTTGCCAGGTTATATCCCTAAGGAAATAATTTAAATATCAATATACCTATGGCCAAATTGGGAGCTCTGGTAGCATAGTGCCTACGGCATCTGACTGCTAACCACAAGGCTGGCGGTTCAAACCCACCAGCCGCTCCTCGGAAGGAAGATGGGGCAATCTACTTCCGTAGTGATACTGCATCGGAAACCGAAGGAGGGGTCGCTGTGAGTCTGGTCCAACTCGACGGCACATACCAACCAACCAACAAATTAAGGAACTCTGGTGGTGTGGTGGATAAGGCATTTGGCTGCTAACCAGAAGGTCAACAGATCAAACCCACCAGCCACTCAGTGGAAAGAAGATGGGGCAATCTACTTCCATAAAGATATACAGCATTGGAAACCCAGTAAGGGTCGCTATAACTCAGAATCTACTCTACTGCAGTGGGTTTGGTGGGCTTTTTTTGAGTTTGGTGGCACAGTGGCTAGATGTCAAGTGCAAACCAAAAGATTTGTTGTTTGAATCCACCAGCTGCTCTGTGGAAGAAAGATGGGGCAGTGTGTGTCCTTATAGATTTGTAGCCTAGGAAACTATATGGAGGTATTCTACTCTGCCCTTTAGTGTCACTATGAGTCAGAATGGACTCTGTGGAACAGATGTATAGCCAAATTCCAGTTGACCATATTCTGAAAGTGTTGAGCTGGTTGCAGAAGTACCTTGTATTTTCCCAGTGCTTTCAATCTATGGTCTAATGTTGGTCTTACAGCAGTCCTTTACAGGTAAGTGAAATAAATATTAACCAACAGGAACATCAAGTAGGCTTAACTACTCTCACTGCTTGTTAATGGTGGGGAAGGGTAGATAGTATCTTGACTCTAGGTTTCCTAATGGTTTATTAGACCTTTCCATTTTAAAGCAGTATGGCAGAAATGTCTTTTTTAAAGGCATAGTTGTATGTGGAATACAGAATTTTCATTGTTAGAGTTGTTGTTGTTGTTGTTATTTGCCATCGAGTCGGCCCCGACTCCTAGCGACCCATCCTTGGGTTTCCAAGGCAGTTATCACTATGGAAGTAGGATTGCCCAACCTTCCTTCCGAGGAGTGGCTGGTGGGTTTGAACTGCCAGCCTCCTGGTTAGCAGTCAAGTGCCTTAGGCACTATGCTACCAGAGCTCCTATTGTTAGAGTATTACTATAAGGATTTTAGATAATATAAGTCAGGTCTTTATTGAAAAATAAAATTTTTGCTAAAGGGTAGGATATGTAGTTAACTGTTTGGAATACTGTTGCTTCTCTTTATTTGAATTTTAGATACTGCTTACCTGTAAGTTCTTATTGGTCTGCAGGTTATGGATAACTTTTTAATACAAGTGACAGGAAAAAAGCGTGTTATACTGTTCAGTCCTCGAGATGCCGAGTATTTATATTTATCAGGTACATTTTTTCATTATATTTCTGATGTCTAGTCTATTCAGTTATTCTTTTTGAGAACTCTCTTTATTCCCATAGAACATCTTAGGACTTCTTCCTAATTATGTATTGTGTTCTCCATTGTGTATGTGTACACAGGTAATGATAGGCTCCATGAACAATGAGATTTTTCAAGTTATCTTAATTATGTTACAGGGGTATCCATGGTCATAATTAGAGGGTAGGTCATTGAAAATTGTCTTAGGATTCAGGAGAATAGTAATTGTTCTCACCATGTGGGTTCAGTAATTGTAGAGAAAAGAATAAATTTTTCAAATTTATATTTGTGATCACTTTTTTTTAAATGCTAACTTTTTTCAATCTGTATTATCCTTTTCTTGGAACTTTTTAGGTACTAAATCAGAAGTACTGAATATAGATAAACCAGACTTGGCTAAATATCCACTGTTTTCCAAGGCTAGAAGATATGAGTGTTCCCTTGAAGCTGGAGATGTGTTATTCATTCCTGGTAAGATTTCTAAACTTAGTAGTGTGCTGTTTATAAAATCTGTACTCTGTTACTCATCCTTTTTATGAATTTTTAGGACAAAAGTGTATTTGTTTTATATATCCTGTCCTATGCAAAAAACTTCTATACACAATTGTGTTTGTGTGTGTGTGTATATTTAAAGTTACTAGGTGCCTTCAAATCAATTCTGATTTGGTCTTTGTGATGTTTAAAGTACACTTAGGCAGATTCTCATGAGATTAAGTTTTATTTTTCAAGCCAACCACATAAATATATTATTGTATTCTAAGTATTTTTATTAAATGACATCAAGCAAGATACTTTATTTCTGGGAAAAGATTGTGCCTATATGTTTTTTTCTTAATCATTTCTAAAATACTTGGATAACTTAGAATTATATTATTTATTCATTACCAAGAAATAATTCATTCACTGCCATCTAGTTGATTCCAAGTCATAGCGACCCACATTTGGGCTTCCAAGGTGGTAAATCTTTACAGAAGCAGACTGCTTCATCTTTCTCATGGCTAGCAGCTGATGAGTTTGAACTACTGATCTTTTGGTTAGCATCCCGATGCTTTAACTATAGTATCACCAGACCTCCTTATATATAAATTACTAATAATCATTAATACTTCTTTTTGGTGATAAAAGTAAATAAAAAATCATTTCCAAATAATAATGTGATCTCATTTGGGACTAGATTATAAATTCCTTGGGTACAAGGAACCCTGTTTGTTAATCTTTGTATTCTCCAAAGGACCAGTTATAATGTTCTTTATATAATTGATTGTCTATAAAGATTTGATACTTTTGAGTTCTTGTTCTTAAATTCATTGAAAATAACCAGCTCATTAACCTTTAAGTGGCAGTGTCTTTTTTAAAATTTATGCTTAAATTTTTGTTTTTTATATCTTAGAAGCTTGTTTAAGGGCTGTACAATGTTTGCTTATTCTATATAGAATTAAAAAAAATACTGAACATTGGAGATATTTTTAAATCAAAGCTTCAGCTTTGGATTTAAATTCAACAATATGGTTAGCTTTTCTTCTATTTATTGAATTAAAAAAAATTAAAGACTTTTGAAAGAATAGTTAAGATTAAAATCATGTTTGAAAACTAGTTCTACAAATCCAAATATTTTAAGCTTTTGTTTTTCCTAGAGCATTCTTTGAATGAGTTTGTTTCTAAAATTGAGCATCTTATAATCTTCCTTTCTCCATTTCACAAGATTAAACATTTTTGATGAGATTAGTAGTTCATCTTGGTTATATTGTGATGGTGCTTTAGTAGTCCTGTATCACCTATGGGAATATTTCAACAATGTTAAGATTCAATTGAAAATAAACTATCTAATGGGAGTGAAAAATTAATTAACTATATAAATTTCACTCATCCTTTCTACCACCAAAATATTTACTTTAGGCTTACATACTTATTGTAAAGGAGGTGAGAGAAATGTAAATGATTATAATTGCATCAGAAAAATATAAAACTGAAGAGGCTACAATGAATGCAAATTTAAGCAAGTTAGAGAATCAGATTGCATCTAAGTCTGAGAACAAAAGTACAAGATCACTCTACTGAATCAGAAAAGGCCAGGAGTCTCCTCAAATAATTGAAATGTTCTGTGTACAAAAAATAAACACCTTTGAAGTGGTTGTATTACTCAGGAAGTGTAAACAAGTTAACACAGACCACAGCCCCAAATTAGAGAATTACAAAACAAACATAACTTTATTATGTCTTTCAAGTTAAAAGGAAAAATTGCTATTTCTAAAGGCTTTAAAAGTAAGGGTTGTGCTTTTGACACTTTAAATTGGATGGCAATTCACAAAAGTTAAAAAAATTCTGTTAAAAGCCGGAGTGTGCTAACGAAGGGATCTGGTTACAGGAATTATTTCTTACATTGGCTATATGTAATTCATGATATTTCACTGACATTTTGTGTGTGGCTTTTTTTTCTTCTTCTTCTTCTTCTTTTTAAGGGAAAGAAAAAAAAAACCTGTAGGTTTTATTTTTAACTTGTTTTTTTAAAATGTTCTCCAGCTTTATGGTTCCATAACGTAATATCTGAAGAGTTTGGAGTGGGAGTGAATGTCTTTTGGAGGCACCTTCCTTCTGAATGCTATGATAAGACAGACACCTATGGAAACAAAGACCCTACAGCAGCGTCAAGAGCTGCACAGATTTTGGACAGAGCCTTAAAAACTCTGGCTGAATTACCAGAGGAATACAGAGACTTCTATGCACGGCGAATGGTGTTACACATTCAAGACAAAGCCTACAGCAAGAACTTTGAGTAAATAAGGCAGTACTAATAGATATAAACGTTTTAGTAAAATTCTGCTCAAATATTAGAAAAATACAATATAATTTTTAATTCACTTTGTTAAAGTAAGATTGATAAATCAATCTCAGATTTATAAATTAAACAAGTATAAAGGGGCATTTGTGTGGATTCTACTTGATTCAAATTATTATCCTTTAAAGAAAGCTGTACTGGTACCACCTTGTACCTTTCAGGGGCAAGTTGCTGAAAATCTGAGTTAAAATTTTTAAACAAGAAAATGTATTGACTTGTGACAAATGAAGTCTTTCGGTAAAATGGGCTTCAGTGTTTCTGGTCCAGTGATTTCAATAGTGTCACCAAGAACCTAGGGGTTTGTTTTTCTTTCCCCTTTTCTTTTCACCCACAGCACTGGCATCATCCTTAGGCCGGCTACCCTCGTGGTTGTGGGATACTTGCCAGTAGCACTTGGGGCCGTGTGCATCTTCATTTACATGCAGTGAAAGAGTCAGTCTGGATTCCAAGAACCCTCTCTTAATATGAGAAAGCTTTCCCAGAATTCTCTAGCAGATACTTGGGTCTCACTTGTCTAAAGAGCTTAGACCAGTCCACCCCTGTGCCAGTCCCTGGCAAAGGCTATGGAATAGCACTTAGACCAGTCAGGTCTATTCCTAGAGCCTGGATTGGATCATCTTCCTCTAAGGCACGTGAGGTATATATAGGGGCAGAATTGTATAATTTTTTTTAAAAAAAAGGTTATGATAAGAAAAGAAAGTAGACAGCAGTCCTAGTATATTTGCCTAGAATCAGAATCTCTTGAGGGCCATTTTAAAACATAGATGCCTAGACCCCAAAGTTGTATACTCCAATTCAGTATGTTTGGGATTTGGTATAGATCACCTGTATTCAATAAGACCTCACAGTTGTTTTGATGCATAATCAGTATTGAGAAACACTGGATTAAGATGATAGTAATTTGGATTATTTTGTGATTTCTCCAAATGTTTAATCTGATCCTGATTTTTCTTGCCTAACCCTTTGCTTTAACTGCAGTTTTTAAATGTTAGGTGAATTTCATCTTTGTTGCAAAATAAGTTTTTATATTTAATTTAGTTTTAAAGTTTCTGAAATTTTCCCCACTAAACACTTGCACTTTTTCCTTTCTTAAAGAAAAAATATTTTAGATTGTTTAAATGAGAGGCCCTGATAATGTTGTCATTGACAGACAGTGATCCACTGTATGGGAATCTGTGCCACTCTTTGTTTTGCACTTAATTACATTACAACATCCTTGAAAAGAGCCCAGATACAGTTAGTGAGGACAGACGCACCCATGTGAAACAGTCACAGAGTACATGAATTTGGGGCTTTTTCATTTGGGGAAAAAACAAAAAAATTTCTCTGGTGAAGAAAATCCATCTTCTCATATCCTATATGCGGAGTTTGATTCATTTCATATGTAAAAAGCAAATTACACTGTAAATAAAGGAAAAGTATAGAGTAAAAAATTATTCTAAATTTCCTAGGTGTCTTTGGGAAGCTATATTGTAGTTATTTAGGCTGACAAAGGTAAAACTGTCTGTTAGAAAAGATGTTTTAATAGCCAGATCTAATTATTAGATTGTTGATCTTTGCTTATTTCTTAGGGTAAGCAAAGAACTTCATTAGTGATTCATTTTCTTTCAGGAAAAAAGTAGATAAAACCCCTCTTAGTTTGCAGAGTATTTATAGTCAGCTTTTAAAAAAAGAATCTGCTAGGTGTATACCCAGAATCCTGTAAGGAACGTAGAAATAAAAGAGATTATAGTTTTTGTGCTGAATATTCATTTTAATTCACTTTGTTTATTAAGGAAGTGAACTGTGAACTTAGGCAAGTTAAATAACCTTTCTGAAACTTACTTTCCTTATTAAAACATAGCTAACAGGTACATAAAGTTGTTATAAAAATACTAGGAGATAAATGGTAGGGCCATAGTCATGGCTAGTGCTAGTTCTTCCATTTTAATTATATTCTGTTTTCTTTAACTAAGAGAGACTTGTGGTGGCACCTGTTGTAATATTAAATTCTAAAGCTTAGAAAGCTTGAGATGTGCCCTTTGAAAAATTATATGCCTGATCATGATATTTAATGCTAGGGTGTGCTTATTTAAAAAACAAAAACTTTCTTGCCCACAAGGTTAAGGGCAAATGAGATGTTTGTTAAAGTATCAAATATTATATAGTAGTACGTTAGCTGCAATTTCTCGGGAATTCCAAATCATAGAATTTAGAATTTTAGAAATCATATTCATCAACCCACACTGCTTCAATGACTGTCCAGGCTCAGACACCTGGGTGATGGAGACTGGGAAGTCCTTGTGGTGACCAGATTACTGATTCTCCGGTCTGTCTTATTTATGGGCAGCACATCTCAAATACTTTTGAATAGATTATGTACTGTTTCTTTGGCTACAGAATTTAGGACTTGACCTGATACACAAAGAAATTCCTCTTTATAACAGAATTTTTCACTGTATAGCTTGCTGCATAGACAAGGATTTAAAGTGAAACCAATGATGAATAGGTACAGCAGAGTGTAATATATAAATGAAATACTATGAAGCCAGAATATGGACTGGCATGGAATTTTTCCAAGGTAATTAGATAAAAACAGGTGTGAAACTATGCTGGGATTTGTGTAAGGTAAAAGTACATTGTATATAAACATTTATTTGTGTATGCATAGAATTCTCTCTACAAGGATACACAGACTAGTAGCGTTTGCCTCTAAGAAGAGATTGAATAATTAGGTGGGCAAACTGGTGGCTAGTTTTATATTTTTTCCTCTTTGTTGCCCCTGTGCATACAGTTTATAGATACATTTAAAAATATTATCTGTGAAGTATGATTTTTAGTTTTTCATGAACATTAGCATTTGTCTTCATGTATGATGCATTGGAATATTCAGTAATTGCAAACTAACCTTTATAAAATGCCAAAACAAGGGAAACAAAGTCAGTAAGACTTGTTTCATAGCTTTCCATCCTTTAGCAGCAGCTATATGAACATTTGGAAAGAACCTTAGTAATGAGGTTTTTCTCTCATCCAAAGTTGCCAACAGACATCAAAGTTGAACCTGAGTTGATTTAAAAAAAAAAAAAATGCACGCACAAGGATGTAGCTCTGTATAGAGTTGAAACTACTGCTGTGACTACCCCAATGAGAAAAATAGATGTAGTCAGGAGGAACTAAAGTAGATTGGCAGTCACTCTCATATCTCTGGTGTTACCTTTTTAGTCTTGAGTATCTACGCCATGAATTGTAGATGTCTCAAATATACCTAAATTGTATTTTGTTTTTTCAGTTTTGTGACATTTACTGCAATCCCCACATTGTAATGGCATTCTTCCCACATCCTCCCCATGTCGACTTCTTCCCTTTGTCATTCCTTTCCATCTCTTCCTGCCTTTCTAGCTCCATCCCTGGGTAAATGCTGTCTCCTCTTGATCACATATGATTGATTGTTCTAATGAGTACCCATGTTCCTGGTATTACGGGTCACCTTATAGGCCTAACATCTGGCTGACAGTTGAGTCACAGGGGTTAAGTTCAGTTCCTAGCTTGAAGGGTGTCCAGGGGCCATAGTCTCGGGGTTTCCACCAGCCTTCATCAAGACCGGTAAGCCTAGTTTTTTTTTTTTTTAATTTTGAATTTTGTTCTACATTTCCCCACACTGTACCCGGGACCTCCTATTATGATCCCTTTCAGAGCAGTCAGTAGTGGTAGCCAGGCACCATGTAGTTCTGGCGTCAGGGTTGTGGAGGCCGGGGTTCATGTGCTTCAGTAGTCCTTCGGACTAATCGTTTCCTTTGATTTTCTTCACTCTTCCTTGCTCCAGACTGGGACAGAACAGTGGTTGCACCTTAGATGGCTCACAAGCTTTTAACACCCCAGTCACTACTCACCAAAGAGGGAGGTAGAACATTTTGTGAACTGTTATGCCAATTGACAGTGTCCCTGAGACTATGGTTCTGAGCCTCCATACACAGCTACTCATTCCCTCAAGGTGTTTGTTATGACTAAGACATTTTCATAATTTTGTCTCTTGTATGCTCTACTACATTTGTGATATATTTGCAGTGTATATAAATACATAGGTAGAGCTACAGCCTCTGTCAAACCTGTATTCATGGTTGTGGTCCCATTCACCTTCCCATGCCTATTCAAATCATCTATGTATCTACTTGTAAATTACTACTATTGCAGGATTCTGTAATGGTATTTACCTTTGTTGCCTTTTAACTATGTGCTCCTCCCTACATCTGTTGCTTTGATCATTTTGTGCTGACCTCCCCTATTATCCATTGCCTTTCCCTTCACCCAAGTTAGTGTCTGCCCGCTAGCTGATTTTCCCTCCTTTCCTCTCTGAAACCATGTAACCTTCAAATAACAATTCTGTGTGTAAACCTTTTTTTAGTCATGGTCTCATGAAATAATTGTTCTTTTGTGATTGACTAATTTCACTCAGCAGTGTCCTCTAGGTTCATCCATGTTATGATGTGTTTTGCAGATTCATCACTACTCTTCAATGTTGTGTAGTAATCAGTTGTTTCTATGCACCAGTTTATCTGTTGATGGGCACTTAGGTTGTTCCCATTTTTTGCTATTGTGAATAATGCTGCGATGACCACGTGTGCATACATCTGTTCGTGTCACGGCTCTTATTTTTTTAGGATATGTACCTACTAGTGGAATTGCTGGATCATATGGATCTTAAGGAAGCACCATAACACTTTCCACAGTGGTTAGTACCATTTTACAATCTCACGAGCAGTGTTTGAGTGTTCCAGGCTCTCCACACTCTCACCAGCATTTGTTGTTTTCTGAGCTTTCCTATTAATGCTGGGGTGAGATACCTCGCTTTGCATCTCCCTAATGGCTAATGACTGTGAGCATTTCTTCATGTTTGTCAGCCTCATGAATGTCTTCTTTGGTGAAACATCCGTTCATGTCCTATGCCCATTTTTAAATTGGATTACTTGTCTTTATACATTTCCATACTTGGGCTGAGACTTTGTCAAGTCCTTAGTGCCTAGAACTATGCCGCCTTTGCCCTCGATTGGTGCTTAGATAGAAGATGAGTGAATAATAAAAAACAGATTATATATTCTAACCAAGTCTCTTAAGGATAGGTAAAGGAATATAAATACCTGAAATGATTAGCACAGAAAAAGAATTTTTTTTTCCGTAAGAAATAAGAAATCAGAAATAATATAAATTTGTATGGAGCAATTTCAAAAGTGGAAGAGAATGTATTTTTACAGGAAGGGTTCAAAGTTGCTCACTTGAAAAAAAATGTATATAAACCCAAATGAGCAAGACTGAGAGAAAGAGTTCCTTTCAAATATCTGAAATCTAACAATCCTATTAAATAAATATAAAGCATACCCAAACAGACTTATATGGATTATTAATTTTAATAGAACTGTACATTCATGCTGTGGTGGTAACAACTTTTACATTATTTACATGACATTCTCAGTTGACTCTTTCATTTGACAAAGACACACTCCAAAACATTTACAGAAGTTTAAAACAAATGTGGAGAAAGGGCAAATTTGAAGTATAAAATAGAAAACATCTGACTCCAGATCAACTTGAATATATTTTCATTCAAGACAGTATTTTTCCTTTTCAACACTGTCTCATTCTGATGAGATGGCAGTCCCAGGTGCTCTGTGAGTTGTTCTTAATATCCACTGAACATTAATTACAGTTAAGTAGTCACATGAGAGAAGGTAGCTGAAGAACCAAATTTTTAAATATCTCAAGACTTTTAATTGAATATTTCTCCTAAAAGTCCTACTTTTTTCATTTCAGTCAATCTAAATTTTCCTTCCCCCCTCAGAACATCAGCAACTCAACTATTTTAAATTAGATAACACGTGAATTTAACCAAATATTAAATTGAAAACAGCCATCTAATCAATCATGGTGTTTAAAAGCAATAAAAGGTTAGAATCATTGATGGAAATTTTTGGTCTCAAAAGAAACTGCTGATATTTAGAGAAACTAAAGAAATAGGAAACTACTCTGGAAAAACAAAACAAAACATTTAGAGATACTATTCTATAGTACAGAATAAATGTTAAAGCAAAAAGAAGTATGTTATTTTCAAACATTTGGTAGGTAAGAATTTCTCACAAGACTCTGAATATTTGGAATGTATTTACAGTCATTAAAATTCTGGGAAGAAACCAAGAAATTATTTTTTTCTATATTGTTTTATAAATTTAGATCCTCTTGGTTATTATGACACTAAGCTTCAGTGTCTTATTTTTTTCAGCCTTAAAGCAGCGTTATTTCCCTGCTTAGTTATTTCATGACTTGAAAAAGCTAATTACTAATAAACAATAAAGTTATAGCTCACCTTTTATTGTAATCATACCGCTATGTTTCAGTGTTGGTTGACATTCATTAGATCTTGGTTTCTCAAAATGTATTTAGGACAAGAAAAAAAATGGGCAGAAGGAAACTTCACCCAAATTATGCAGCAGTGTTAAGCAAATTCAGTTTCTGAGCCAAAAGTAAATCATTTGTGTCTTCAAACTTTCCCTTGTAACTTTTCTTACAGCAATATAATTTTGCATTTTGGCCAAAGAGAGCTGTTTTCTTTTGGCAGACAAAATCATGCTTCTGTAGAAACATTGATTTAGATTTGTGGAATCTGTCTCCTTTTCACTAGAGCACTAACAAATAAAACATTATGTATGTATTGATTTTACCTAAGTTGATCTCTTTGAAAAGATTTGAAATCTGCTTTATATTTTTACCAAATATACATAATTATGCTCAATTTAAACCAATTTTCCAAAATAATTGGTTTTTGTCCAAAATTCTAGATACCCCAAAATGTGTTATTAAAAAGTTGTCAATTAAAAATTAAGCCACAGTGCTTAAGTGTAATAAGCTTTTAAAAAAATCATTTTCACACTATTGCACATTCTTGGATATTTGGAAACAAATGTATTTCAGAAAAACACACTTGGTGACACATTAAAGAGTAAGTTCATGAGTTTACAAAACACAAGTAGCAGGGTAGAGTTACTCAGCATGAAAAACACCAGTGTGCCTTTGTTTTATTTGAAAAATGGAGTGTTTCCACTCAAAAGTTTTGAATGCCAAAATAATTACTATCATAAGCCACCAAAATTAGTGTAAAATAATTAGTTTAAGCATTACTCAAAATCAACTTCTCAACATTAACGATTTTAGTTACCTTTTATAAGGACTATATTGTAACTTTCATTTTTAAGGGTCTTATATTTCCTCACAGGATTATCACAAACCACCTTTTTAGATTTCAAATTAATTCTAACACAGTCTAAATTAAAAATTGTTCACATTCACAACCAAGGAACACTACTATTGCACATTACACTCACATCTTAGGAATGTGTTCTCCCCTCCAAACTGAAGATGCATCTATTGAATTCTATCTTTTTATCTGAATTTGTAACACGTAAAGTGCTTATGCTCTTCCACAGAACAAGTACATTAATATTCCTGAGTCTCAAAATACTTCATGAACTCTGAAGTGATTCTCTATGGAAGGAGCTTCCTTTGCAAAATGAATTTGGCTAGTTACCTGCATACCAAACTCCCCAAGTATCTGAACAAATTTCTTGTGCTCCTTTCCAATCCAAGATCTCATTGGATCATGTACTTGGTAAGGTGTTACATGGGTGTGAACAATAATCTCTGTTTGGGCAAATTCTTTCAAGACTTCTGGATGAGTAACCCAAGTATTGCTTCCTCCAGAATGACCACCATCCAGCCAGTACATTGTTCTGATGCTTTTGATAAAGGCATCTATGTTCTTGTCTTTCTTGGCTTCTTTCAATTCAAAAAGTAACTGATTCAAAACAACACAACCTTTACTAAATCCAATCAAAGTAAAAGATGCACCATTTAGTGATGGTGGGTAAAAACTCATGGCAGACTCATCAAATTTTTCACAGGTCCTCTCCTTTTCTCCCTGGCAAGCATTGGTAGTATGAGAAGAATTGGATCTACAATTAGATGCTTTGGAATCCTTATTCAAAACATTTACACTCTTCTTTGATAGCAGACTGTTCTGCGTTAAATTAAAAGCATTAACTAATAACATATAAAGGTGCTTAAAAGCTCCAAAGTCAGCATTATGTTCTGGGGCACCAAACATGTTGCTTTTCACAAAATTGTCATAGCAGCTGAATTTGTGCAAATGCATCCGGGAACACTTTATCACCCAAATATAACTACTTGGGAACCGGTGGGCTAGAATGGTGGCAACATTTTCTAGACTCCAGTTTTCCCACTGGTAATTCTCAGGATGACGAGTCATAATTTCATGATAATTCTGAAAGTAAGAAAGATAAAACAATCATGAATACATTTACATAAAACATTTCACAAAATAGTTTCTCATTTTTATATGTAGAAGAAGTTGGGATATTATAATGACTTAAGGCCAGTATGAAGGTGTTCTGGTGGCGTGGTTAAAGCATTGGGCTGCTAACCAAAAGGTCAGCAGTTCAAATGCACCAGCTGCTCCTCAGAATGATGAGGCAGTGTGCCTCTGTAAAGATTTCAGCCTTGGAAACCCTGTGGGGGAATTCTACTCTCCTATAAGATTGCTATGAGTTGGAATTGACTTGATGGCAGTGGTTTGGTTTGGTTTCTTTATGGCTAATATACTAGAAATGAAAACTAAATCTGTCATTAGTTTCTGATAATAAGATTTTGAACAAATTACGTCTTCAATTTAAGCCTCTAATTCATTAAGGGTTATTACACATGCACACATGCTAAAAAGCATGGTAGAAATTAAAATAATAAAATATTTAATTTAGAAGGAATACACACACACATATAGCAGCTCGGTGGCATAGTGCCTAAGGCATCTGACTGCTAACCAGGGTGGTTCAAACCCACCAGCCACTTCGCGGAAGGAAGGTTGGACAATCTACTTCCGTAGTGATACTGCCTCAGAAACCCAAGAAGCGGGGTCACTATGAGTCAGATCCGACTCGAGGGCAGGGAGTGAGTGATATATATAGAGAGAGCAGCTCTGGTAGCGTAGTGCCTAAGGCATTTGACTGCTAACCAGAAGTGTGGTGATTCAAACTCACCAGCCACTCCTCAGAAGGAAGATTGGGCAATCTACTTCCGTAGTGATACCGCCTTGGAAACGCAAGGAGGGGTCATTATGAGTCAGATCTGATTCCATGACAGTGAGTTTGGTTTACGTGTGTGAGTGTGTGTGTGTACACACACACACACACACACACACATATGGAGCTCTGGTAGTATGGTAGGTAAGGCATTTGGCTGCTAACCAGAAGGTCAGTAGGTCAAACCTACCAACTGCTCCATGGGAGGAAGATGAAGCAATCTACTTTTGTAAAGAAATCTATAACCTTGGAAACCCAATGGAGGTCGCTATGTGACAGAATCAACTCAATGACAGTGGATTTGGTTTGGGTTATGTGTACATATATATATATATATATGATAAATTGTATTTAGTATACATGTGATCAATTTTTTTTTCCTTACAATTATGGGGTTTATTAAGGAAGTGACAGGTGGTAATTCAGGACCAGAAGCAACTCAGGATATAGTTCTTCAATCAGGACAGCCTCTTCACAGTCTCTTTGATCTCTGCCTAACAACCGTTGCTTGCCAATTTTCTTGGGTTATCTTACTTTTTAAAGCCTCAGGGCATAAAATTATACTTTTTTTTAGATATAGTTAATACAAAAAATTCACTAATTTTAAATGTACAATCTGATGACTTTTGACAAATATTACAGTTATGTAACAACCACCTCCACAATCATGTTACAGAACATCTCTATGACCCTCAAAAGGTCCTCTGTGCCCCTTTTCAGTCCAATCTCCTTCCCTTCTCCCAGCCCAAGGCAACCACTGATCTCTTTTCCATTATAGCCTTTTCTAGAAATCCAATAATTTGTAATCATATAGTACATAGTCTTTTGTATCTGGTTTCTTTCACTTTGTACTTTTGAAATTCACCCTACTGTTAACTGTATCAGTAATTTCTTCTTTCTTATTGCCAATTTTTGACTATTACCTATCTTTTAAAAATTCTACTTTCCTAAAGGTTACATAGGTGATATAGTCTGTTTTCTGAGCTCTTTGTGGCATCTGTCTTAGGTTGGATCCTCTTATGGTGCTTCTAGCCTCTCTCATTGACACATCCACTTTATGCATAAGAAGGATGCCCTTGCCCCACTTCTGGTAGCAGTTAAGTGCTTCTTGTTCTACTGTAAGGGTAATCTAGCTAGCTTAAATGAGTGTCTCCAAATTCTAGGAGACATATATAAAGTTTCCCTAATAATCCTTTGTACCTTACTCCAGTAGCAGTATGGGTGGGCCTATTAGTTTTTGTAGATTTATAAGCATCTGTGATGAAGACAGACAAAAAACAAAATGAATATATAACTAATGTAGTAAGTGAAATGGATAAAAATAAAGAAGAATAATTGATAGGAGGCTTGTGTTTGGGTATGATTATTAAATATTGTTGTTGTTGTTATGTGCCATCAAGTCAGACCTGACTCATAGCGACCCCTCCTTGGGTTTCCAAGGCAGTATCACTATGGAAGTAGATTGCCCCATCTTCCTTCCGAATGACTATTAAATAAGATGGTCAAAAAAGACCTCACTGAGGTAACTTCTGAGCAAAGACTTGAAAGAGGCAAGGTAGTGAATCCTACAGATATCTGTGGGAAGATTGTTCCAAGTGAAATGTGAAGTGTGCCTGACATGTCTGAGGAACAGCAAGACTAATATGGCTGGAACAGAGTAAGACAGAAAAAGGAGATAAAGAGCAGGAACAAGGTAGAGAAAAGTAGAGACAGTGAAGGGGCTTGCAGCCATCGGAAGGACTCACTGAATTTGTTAATGGACTAAATATGACAAGTGAAAGGGAGGAGTGAAGGATGACTTTAAGTTTTCTAAGTTGAGCAACTGAAAAAGTAGTTTACATTAGGTGAGATGATGAAGACTGCAGGAAAAGCAAGTTTAGGAGTAAAGATCCAGAGATTATAGGTTTGAGATGTCTATTAAATGTTCAAAAGGAAATATGTGCATGCAGTTGGTGAGTCTAAAGTTTAAGGAAGATGTTCAAGCTAGATACCCAAATGTAAAGAGGGTGTCAGGGTACAGGTAGCATGTAAAGCCAGACAGAAAGAGATCACTAAAAGAGTATATTCAGACAATGGAAAAGTCCTAAACTGAGTGCTAGAGTATTTCAACAATTTAAAAAGTCATAAGGAAGATAAGGAGGGGCTTAGTTCACTGAGTATTCACAGACTTAATTCTCATTGATATCCTGTAAGTATTATTCTTATTTTACAGTTGAGATCATTGCAACAACGGGATTTAACAATTGGCCAGAGATTTCATAATTAAAAACTGCAGAATCTGGGTTCAAACCTAGGCAATCTGGTCAAAGTACAGGTTTTGATGCATTATCTTCTACTTCGTCTCTAAAAGATCTCAAGTTTTCAGAACACTCATACTCTACATAAATCAACAGTATGTCATTCTCCAAAATGCTAATGGAACCTCAGGATGCATGAAGAGACAGATGCTGCTGAGGAAGGGAGGTAATACTCCAAATGTACTCAGCACTTTGTGAAACTCATCTGAAGACTTTAACGATGTCTGGCTGGGGAAAACAAAAAACAAGGAGCTCTAGTGCCATAGTGGCGTAAGGCATTTGGCTGCTAACCAGAAGGGAAGGCCAGCAGTTCAAAACCATCAACTGCTCCAGAGTAGGAAGATGAGGTGATCTACTTCTGTAAAGATTTACAGCTTGGAAACCCAACAAGGGTTGCTATGAGTCGGAATAGACTCAATGGTTGTGGGTTATAAAATAATATGGAGGAAAAAGGCAAAATTATAATGGAAAAGCACTCCATATTGCTTATTTACATATTACTATCTTCCAAAAATAATCCATGAGCTGGATAATCCATGAGACAGTCCACAGTGGCAACAATGGGCTTAAACAGGGCAACCACTGTGAGGACAGCAAAGATTGGGCAGTGTTTTATTCTGGCTGACATACTTTACAACCACTCAGCAGGGGCTCAATAAGGTTACTTATCATTACTGTCATCATCATCATTATAGGCGTGCACTTAGTAGCTGGCCCACAAATCTTCAGCAGTAGTTGTCAACGATGCCACATGCTGCTTTCTCAAATTTAAGCAAGTAAATTATGTTTCTTCTCTTAAATCTAAATACCAGTGTCTTCACCATTCTTATTAACAGGCAATGAGAACTGTCAACTATTTTGAGGGCAGAGAAAATACTACATGTATCTTAATCAATCAATCATTACTTGGCCCAGGGTGTGAAGTTTTTAAGTATATATTTTTAATCCATCAACTTCAAAAATAAAAAAACTAATATTATTTTATGGTATAAGAAATGTCTAGCCATATTCTTGTTTTGCCTCTCTAGAGCTCTGGTAGCATAGTGCCTAAGGCATTTGAATGCTAACCAGAAGGCTGGCAGTTCAAACCCACCAGCCACTCCTCGGAAGGAAGACTGGGCAATCTACTTCCGTAGTGATACTGCCTTGGCAACCCAAGGAGGGGTCGCTATGAGTCAGGGCTGACTCGATGGCACATAACAACAACAACAACAGACCAGCATTTCCACTAGAACTTTCTATGATGATGGAAATGTTCTGAGGAAATGCTCTATATCTGCACTGTTCAATACAGTACTCACAACTGTATGTGGCTACTGAACATTGGAAATGTGGTTAAAGCAAGGAGGAACAGAATTGGTTTTTAAAATTGCATTTAATTTTAATTAATTTAAATAACTAGATAAGGCTAATGGCTACTTTATTAGACAATGTATTTCTAGATTACCACCGACCTTCAGGGGAAAAAATAACCATGCATTTATTGCCTGTAGCTATAAAATTAGTAGAAAAATCACACACAAAACCAAAAGTACAGAATTTAGGTGAGCATAGAAAAACTGACACGCTTAGAAATTACTGTCCCTTTTCTTCTATTTCCTTATTTTTAAGGGTAGTGTCATAATATTTTTTCCTTGCTTGTTCTTTAATTATTGCAGCGTTTTCTGAACACTAAGTGCTTAATTAATTTAAAAGCAATTTCTCTGGCCTCAGGCCCAATACAGAGAAATCAAGTTACAGAATGAATATGTATTATTCCTTCCCGTTTCTTCTGTCTCAAATTCTATAGCTTCAAAGCATGGACTGACACTATCTCTTTCGAGGTCGAAGCCCACCAAGGACACTTCCTCCTAGGATCATAGGGCAAAGAGCCAAGGGTGGGGAAGGGGCGGTTTTGGATTTCGCCGAGTAACGGAAAAGGCGCTCTCCTGAATGCGGTGTGGGTGTGTTTAGGCAAGGCAAGGATCCTGGCACCAGCCCTGATGGAAGAATATAGGGAAAGCGCCTATGTACAACAGGAGGGAGCAGGTGCCGAAGCAGGCCTCAAGTTACCTGCACATCCCCCGGGAAATAGAGGACGTGATGTTGAGGCGGCGGTTGAGGCGTCTCCTTCGTCCAGTCCCCGGGGAGATCCTGCAGCTCCTGTCCCTCCCCCGCCGCCGCCGCCAGCAGGAGCAACTCGTTGCAGCGCTGCGGGTCGGCTCCTGGCACCGTGGACAGTTGCAGGCACTGCTGGCGGCGCCCCTCGGCCGAGAAGGAGCATCGCGCGCCGCTGCTGCCACCACCCAGGTTCATGGTTCCGGCCTGAGAGCTGGAAGTGGCGCTTCCAGCTACGAGCTGCGGTAGCAGGAACAGCAGCGGCGGTGACCGCGGGAGCCTGAACCCCCACATGGATCGCCCTCCGAAAGGGGTTGGGGGGGTTCCCAGGGAGGGGCTTCAGCAGCCGGCCCAACGGCCAGCGGCAGCGGCCTGGGCGGGAGCCGGTGCAGGGGTGACGGTGGCGTCACAAGCCGACGTCCGCGCGCAGCGTGCGTAAGGGGAGGAGGTGGTTGAGAGAATTCAGGCTCGCGTTCCCGAGGGCGTAGATGGGGAGGCGTGGCCCGAGGGAGGACGTTTGTGATTGGTGGTTCTCTAGCGGCCGGGAGGTTTGAACGGTGGTCTGGGAAAGACCTTGAAAGCAAAGGCGGAACCTTGGAGCCTAGGAGTCCGAGCGTGAGGGGCCGGCAATTTTGGTGCGTACGCGGCAGGAAGGGCTTAGAGTTTTGAGTACCCCATTTGGATAGGTTCACCTTTCAGTTAAGGGTTTTCTAGTCCTTCAAGACTTAAAAGGGAGACAGTTCCAAAGATAAAAGGAGAATGATTCTCTTCTGTAGAGAAATCTGTGGGAAGTCTTCTACATGCCCTGGGTGAAAGGAGTCTCTCATTTCTCATACCCTCCGGTTTCCTGAATAGTAGTAGTGAAATATCTGACGATTTCTAGATTCAGAAAATAGATTGCCTAGAGCTGAGAAGGAGGAGGAATTGGGGGAGAATGACGAGTGATTGCTAATGGATATGAGGTTCCTTTTGGAGGTGATGAAAATGTTTTAAAATTGATTGTGATGATGTTTGCACAACTTTGAGTATATTATAAACCATTACATTGTACACTTTAAATTAGTAAATTGCATGATATGTGAATTATGTCTCAATGCAAACCAAAACCTGTTGCTGTCGAATTGATTCTGACTCATAGCAACACTATGGGACTGGGTAGAACTGTCCCCATGGAGTTTCGAAGGCTGTAATCTTGACGGAAACAGACTGCCACATCTTTCTGCAGCTCAGCAGCTGATACGTTTGAATTGCCGACCTTTTGATTAGCCAAGTATGTAACCACTGTGCCACTAGGGCTCCTTCCACATCTGTTAGGTTCTGATAAAACATACACTGGTCAGTAGTTTCCCTTTAGGGTAGCTCATTAGTAAGGAGAAAACCAAAACCAAATTCATGGTCATCAAGTCAATTCCAACTTGGCGACTGCTCGAATAATTTCTTTTAGAAGGATCATTATGAGGCTGGTTTTAGGCAGATGTTAAAGTTGTCCCAAATGTCCAACTTCTTGAAACTCCAGTACCACTCCATCATCTCTAACATGAACTCCTACTCCTCCCCTCAGTACTCTCCCTCTTTTGTTGTTGTTAGGTGCTGTCAAGTCATCTCCGACCTCATGTACAACAGAATGAAACACTGCCTGGTCCTGCACCAGCCCCATGATCCTTGCTATACTTGAGCCCATCGTTGCAGCCACTGTGTCAATCCACATTGTTGAGGGCCTTCTCCTTTTTTGTTGACCTTCTGCTTTACCAAGCATGACATCCTTCTCCAGAGAATGGTCCCTTCTGACAACATGACCAAAGTAGGTAAGGCAAAGTCTGGCCATTCTCACTTCCAAGGAACATTCCAGCTGCACTTCTTCCAGGACAGATTTGTTAGTAATTTTAGCAGTCTTCATCAGTACTTTCAGCATTCTTTGCCAGCACCACAACTCAAAAGCATCAACTCTTCTTCGGTCTTCCTTATTCATTGTCCAGCTCTCACATGCATAAGAGGTGATTGAAAATACCATGGCTTGGGTTAGGTGCACCTTAGTCTTCAAGGAGACATCTTTGTTCTTCAATACTTGAAAGAGGTCTTTTGCAGCAGATTTGCCCAATGCAATATGTCATCTGATGTCTTAATTGGTGCTTCCATTGGGGTTGATTGTAGAACCAAGTAATATGAAGTATTTGACAACTTCAATCTTTTCTCCATTTATCATGATGCTGCTTGTTGGTCCAGTTGTGAGGATTTTTGTTTTGTTTATATTGAGATGGAATCCATACAGCACATTGTAGTGTGCAGTCTTCATCAGTAAGTGCTTCAAGTCATCCTCACTTTCAGCAAGCAAAGTTGTGTTGTCTGTGTATTGCAGGTTGTTAATCAGTCCTGATTCTTCAATCCTGTTCTTCATATAGTCCAGCTTCTCAGATTATTTACTCAGTATACAGATTGAATAAGTATAGTAAAAGGACACAGTCCTAACACACATACTTCTCTATTTTAAACCATGCAGTAACCTCTTGTTCTGTTCAAACCACAGCCTCCTGGTTTATGTACAGGTTCCTCATGAGCACAATGAAATGTTCTAGAATTCCCATTCTTCATAATATTATCCATAATTTGTTATGATCCACACAGTCGAATGCTTTTGCATAGTCAATAAAACACAAGTAAACATATTTCTGGTATTTGCTTTCAGCCAAGATCCATCTGACATCAGCAGTGATATCCCTCACTCCACGTCCTCTTCCGAATCCAGCTTGCCTTTCTGGAAGTTCCTTGTCAATATATTACTGCAGCTGTTTTTTTAATTATCTTCAGTAAGATTTTTACCTGTGTGATATTAATGGGGAGCTCTGGTGGTGTAGTGCCTAAGGCATTTGACTGCTAAATAGAAGCCTGGCAGTTCAAACCCACCAGGCACTTCTTGGAAGGAATATTGGGCAATCTACTTCCGTAGGGATACTGCCTTAAAAACCCAAGGAGGGGTCACAATGACTCAAATCAACTCAATGGCAGTGAGGTTTTTTTTTTTTTTTTTTGTGATATTAATGATATTGTTCGATGATTTCCACATTCTGTGTGATCACCTTAGCCTAGTGAGTCCCTCTAGCATGGCCCCCATTTGTTGAAACATCTCACTGGGTATTCCATCAATTCCTGGAGGCTCGTTTCTTGCCAGTTCCTTCAGTGCAGCTTAGACTTCTTCCTTCAGTACCATTGGTTCTTGATCTTATGCTACCTCCTGAAATGGATGAACATCAACCAGTTCTTTTTGGTACAGTGACTCTGTGTATTCCTTCCATCTTCTTTTGATGTCTCCTGTGTCATTTAATAGATTGCCCATAGAATCTTTCAATATTGCAACTCGAGGTATAAATTTCTTCAGTTCTTTCAGCTTGAGAAATGCTGAGTGTATTATTCTCTTGGTATTCTAACTCCAGGTCTTTGCACATTTCATTATAATAATTGACTTTGTCTTCTCAAGCTGCTCTTTGAAATCTTCTGTTCAGCTCTTTTATCTGGTCATTTCTTCCATTTGCTTTAACTACTCTCCATGCAAGGGCAAGTTTCAGAGTTTCTTCTGACATCCATTTTGGTCTTTTCCTTTCCTGTCTTTTTAATGACCTTTTGCTTTCTTCATGGGTGATGTTTTAATGTCATCCCACAATTCATCTGGTTTTTGGTCATTGGTGTTCAATGAATCAAATCCATTCAGGAGGAATATAATCAAAGTCATATTTTGGCTCTTGTGGACTTGTTTTCATTGTCTTCAGCTTCAACTTGAACTTGCATATGAGCCGTTGATGATCTGATCCATAGTCAGCTCCTGGCCTTGTTTTGGTTGAAGATATTGAGCTACTCCATTGCCTCCTTTCACAGATGTAGTCAATCTGATTCCTGTGTACTCCATCTGGTGAAGTCCACGTGAATAGCTGCCATTTGTGTTGTGGAAAAAAGGTATTTGCAATGGACAAGTCATTGATCTTGTAAAATTCTATCATGCGTTCTCCAGAGTCATTCCTATCACCAAGGCCATATTTTCCATCTACCAGTGACCAGTGATTCTTCTTTGTTTCCAACTTTTGCATTCCAATCACCAGTGATAATCAACACATCTGGGTTGCATGTTTGGTCAACTTCAGACTGCAGAAATTGGTAGAAATCTTCAGTTTCCTTGTGTTTGGCTTTGGTGGTTGGTGTGTAAATTTGAATTATAATAGTATTAACTGGTCTTCCTTGTAGGTCTATGGATATTATCCTATCACTGACAGTATTGTACTTCAGGATAGATCTTGAATATTCTTTGTGATGATGAATGCCACACCATTCCTCTTCAACTTGTCATTCCCAGTATAGTAGATCATAATATTGTCTAATTCAAAATGGCCAAACCCAGCCCATTTCAGCTCACTAATGCCTAGAATATTGATCTTTATGAGTTCCATTTTATTTTTGACAACTTCCAATTTTCCTAGATTCATACTTTGTACATTCCATGTTCCGATTATTAATGGATGTTTACAGCTATTTCTTTTTATCTTGAGTTGTGCCACATCAGGCAATGGAGACCCCAAAAGCTTTACTCTATCCACATCATTAAGATCAGCTCTACTTTGAGGAGGCAGCTGTTCCCCAGTTGTGTTTTGAGTGCCTTCCAACCTGAGGAGCTCATTTTTCTGGAACTATATCGGACAGTGTTTCAGGGCTATTCATTAAGTTTCCCAGTAGTATATCATACAGTGTTTCATAGCTATTCATAAGGTTTTCACTGGCCAGTTCTTTGAGAAGTGGATGGCCCCTTCCTTCTCCTGAGTCTGTGTTAGCAACCACCACAGTACGAGAAACTGACAGACAAGTTTGTCTCCCTTGTTGTTGTTGTTATGTGCCATTGAGTCGGACGTGACTCACAGCGACCCCTCCTTGGGTTTCCGAGACGGTATCACTATGGAAATAGATTGCCCAACCTTCCTTCTGAGGCCTCCTCACCTGCTCCAAACCTGCCACACCAGCTTGCTTCCTTCTTGCCCTTCCTCAGCTGCTCCAAGCCTGCCATGCTGCCTAACTTCCTTCCTGGCCTTCTGTGTTATGGGTCCATAATTCACTATAATGTCTCACAGAACACATTAACCACCAAAGACATGACTCACATGGTTGTAGAGGCTGGCAAGTCCCAACCCTGTGGATCACACATCAGTCTGGAGGATTCTGCTCACTCGTAGTTGTGGAGGCTGACAAATCCAAATCAGCAGGTCAAACAACAGGCTACTATCTCACGAAGCTTCAGAAACTGATGAATCAGGTCAGAC